AAAAGTCTGGAGAGCAGAGTTGTAGCCTGCCACTTTTCCTGATTTACTATGTAACTCAGGGTTATGCATGTCTTCCAGGAGCCTCAGTATCTCTATTATAAAATCGGCATGCAGTCATCTTTTGGACGGATGGACATTAACAAAGCCCCCAAGGAAGCCACTGCTAGCACCCCACTGCATCTGGGTTTATTGTACAACGCGTGCACTTGCTCATGGGACCAAAAGGCATAGAGACTGCAAGAGCGGAGTACTTGAACACATGCATGTTGGGCACTGTCTGGAGAGTCTGCATGTGTTCAGTGTAAAGCACCTCTGAGCACCTTCCTGAAAAAGGCCCGTGAATGGTGCTGGGGCTACAGAGAAGAATCAAAGTGCCTGCTAAATGAGTAGTTGGGGACAAAAAAGGGACAGATGAATTTTCACAGAGTGTTGAGGAAAACAGAGCAGGTCCAAAGCCTAGACATAGGAAAGCAAGTGTCAGGGAGGGTTAGGAAACGCTTCATAGACTGGTCATGATGAAACTAAGGTAGGATAAGAGGCAATCACCAGCAGTCATCGCTGACAAACCCCCTAGGTCTCAAACTCCAATCTATCACATAGAGAGAAAGGGTTTAGAACTATTTTCTAGCTTTTCTTTTTCACACTTCTTAAGCTCCTAGAACCAGACCAGACTCTTGCTTTGGGTCCTCTGTATCCAAAGCAAAACAGTAGAGTAAGTTCCAACCCAGAACTTCTCAAAGTCTTTGGTTCCAGGCTGAGTTTTGCTGCTGACTATGCTGAGTAAGACATTGAATGACCGTATTATTTGGCCTTCTTTTATCTTTGTACAAAACTACTAACTTCATGAGACTTAGTAAAGCATCCAGGAAGAAACTAAGAGAATTTTACTAGCTGAATCTATTTTTTTATGTGTATCTCCATGTGTTGTGTCTATGTGGGCATCATACATGTGTGTTGTGTATGTGTTCTGCATGTTATGCGTGTGTCTATTTATCTGTAGGTATCTGCTGCTGCCTTCCTATTTCTCTGAGAGTTCTGGGTTCCCCGATGCAGAGAGGTAGAAGGAATCCTGAGGCTTTGAATGATTCTCTGCCCTTCTCTGGGCCTCAGTTTCCTCGCCTATCTAAATGAGGGAATCGAACTCCATGATTTTGAAGGACTCTTGCAGATCTGACCATCTTTAACTTCATCACTTGCCATATGGTTTAAGGACTTCATCCAAAGAAGTTCTAAATAAGAGTCAAAGGCTTAAAGCTGCAGTGGCAGGGATTGGAATTAGAAGGATAAGGTCCCAGACTAGCCTATCCTGGCCTCGGGAGAGCCATGAAGTTCTTGGTCTGAAGCAAAAGTTGTCAGAATGCAAAGATGGACCCAAGGACCCAGATTGTGTTCCCCACCCCAATGTTGGTCAGGCAAGGGGCAGAGTCTCCATGTGACTTGCAGAAAGAAAGGAAGAAAGACTCCCATCCTAACTTCCCTTAGGTTTCCAAAGAGGCAGAGGGATTGAAGAGCAGCCATTCAGGAGACAACCCTAGATAGAAAATATCCTCAGGTCCTACACTGTGGCCCCTGCTGGCTCCTGATACACAGACGGGCCCCCACCCTGATAGCCACAAGCCTGCTTATCAGGGTCCCCAGACCACCCCACCCAGGCTCAGACTCTCGTCCAGTCCACACCCTGATCACAGCCCCCTCCACCCCAGCCAGAGGCCACAGCCACAGAATCTCTGGTTGGTTGAGATATCTCTCCTCTATCTCCAGGACCCCTGAGTCCTATCCGTGGTCACCTTTGAACCTGGCCCCCAAGGATTAAGCAGAAACCTAGGCAGTGCACAGCTTGACTTGAAGTTTGGCCATGGTACATGAAGCCTTTACTCTGGTAAAAGAGCCTTATCTATGGGGTCTCTGAATAGAAGTCACCTGGCAGGAGGGGTAACAGGAAAGAGGGTCACAAGGAGGTAAGAACAGACAAAATGCTAATTCCTCACTTGGTTAGAGCACCTGAATTTTTAAAGCTTTCTCACTCACATTACTCACTTAATTCTTACAATTTGGTGAGGTATGTATTACCACCAAAGTTCAGAGAAGTGTTACTTTGCCCTTGGTCACACAGCTCATGACAGAGAAAAGGAAAAGAAACTGACACTGGTTCTATACATTCTAGGCTCTGGGAGTTTGAGATGAGTGCTGTTAAAAAACAAAATTCAACCCAGTATATTTGAAAATCTAACTTGCGTTAAGCAATTCACAAATCAGCAGCATGCTACCTAGCAACCAGAGGGGCTGTACAAAATGGAAGCTTTTTATAGGAAGAAGGGTGGGGCAAGGAGCTATTAACAAAAGAAAAGATTACTTTGGGGTCTTGACAGTTGGTGTGGGCCAAAGAGAACAAAAGAGGGGAAGGGTTTTTATCATGCAGATTGCCTCTTCTTCCTATGAGGGATGGAGAGGGCCCACAAGACAGATCACCTTACTGGTGTTGGACCAGAAAATTCCAAACCAGTAGTTAATATTACATTTCTGGAAGAAGCTGAAAATGCAATTAGGTCAGGTATTAAATCTGTTTAGTATGATGGGCTTTTAGCACTTGTATCATTTTGGGCCTGTGGTTTTCTCTTTGACAGTGTTCATATCATCCTTTTAATCACCATGAGGTGCATATGGATAGCTCTTTATATTTGAGGAAACTGAAACTGAAGATACCTGGTCCAAAGTCACAGAGATGGATGCTGTAGAATTGGGACTGTCACCCAAGGCCTGTTACCGCTAAACCTTGCCTCTTTCAGTAGCATCAAGCTTCTTTCAAGAACATCCCATGAGCTTTCAGATGTTCAACAGGCTTCACCTGTGGCCTTTGGTGAGCCCCTGGGAAGCGAGTGAGGTAGGAATTAACTTGTTTGAACCCCTTCTGTGGACCAGCACTAGCACTGTGCTAAGTGCTTTACCAGCAGCTAATTACCTGGTTCTCACAATTCTGTTAACTAGGGACCTTTATTATCGCTATTTACAAAGAACAGGGACAATCAATCCAAGAGAGAAAGTGACTTGCCTGAGTTACACCTTTGTCCGTCTGCCTTCCCGGGCCAAAGTCTCTCTCCTCCCCATTAGAGTGGGCTAAACTCCATGTCGGTCATTTGACAAGAAGGTTTATTTAGTCTCTAGTCTGTGGTAGAAATATATCAGTGAATAAACCAAGCACTCATGATTATTTGCTTAATTGTGAATAATCACACAAATAAATGAACCCACAACACAGGGATTTAACTAACCAGGGAAGACTTCCCTACAGAGGTGACAGAGATCTGAAGAGAAAATAGGAACTAACTAGACAAGAAAGGAGATAAGATCACGTCAGCATGTGCCAAGGTTCTGTGGCAGCAGGAAATAGAACACCTCCAAGGAACCAAAAGAAAGGTAAGTCTCTCCTCACATTTCCCATCCCGGTGTCACCTGCCCCTGCACAGGAGGGGTATAACTGCCTCCTAGCCCACAGACCTGATTAAGATAGGGAAAGGGGAAGGAACAGAGAAGCAGATGTGCTCCCCAGAATGAGGGTCTAAATAACAGAGTCCCTGCTTTGAGGAGTCTCTACCCCAGGAGTCTCACCTTCCCCAGAGGCAGAGAATTGAATAATGCCAGGCTATTACCCTAAGTGACTTGATCTCTGAAGAACAGGTCCTCACCCATTCTTATGCTAGCTCCCACAAGTTTGGGATTCAGCTGCCCTCAAATCTCCCCACAGAGGACACCCCTACCCAGGGGAACTTGCCATAACAGAGGTGGGTGAGGGATCTGCCTATTTAGGTCTGGCCTTCTTGTGCTCAGCATAAATGCAGACAGGGGTCTGGGGACTGAAATTTAGGCCAGAGCCTGCCCCAGGAATCCGCAAAGATCCAGCTGTCAGGACCCTCTCTTTCATAGAGATTCAACTAACAGTCTCACCACTATCACCAACTCCTCCTTCCTAAATTCCACCAGGGCTCTGACCAAGATGGGGTAAGGCTATTCTTTCTTCTCCTCAGCCCAGCAGATAGATGACCAACTTCATGGGGATACGAAATGAAGGGTGGATCCTAGGCTTAGCAATGTTCATAAGAGTATGTGAGAAAGGGACTAATAGGGAGATGGGCCAGTGACCCTCCTTCTGAGGAGTCCAGCGGGGAAAGGGTTAATAGGCAGGGCCTTCAAGAACCAGAGAAAGTGCCCCACCCAGGGGAGGGGCCAGTGGATTAAAAGGCAAGCACTAGGAGTGAAGAGGCAAGGACAGAGTCCCTCTGCCTTTCTGGTCTGCAGTTCCAGCTCCAGGTAAGTGCCCCTCCTCTGGGTTTGTCTGTTGGTCTGACCAGAGGTTAATTTCTGCCTCATTAGGTGATCTCTGGCTTAACTCTGGCACAGGGTCCCTAAGGCGATCTCAACAGACCCTCGCTTTGCAGGTTTCTTCCAGCCAGTCCCGTTCTTCTAACCCACTTTGGCCACCCTTGACCACAGAATCAAGACACTGGCCTGGGAGCTGTGGAGCACGGATGCGGGAGCTCTGCGTATCCAGCCCTGACCTGTCCAGCTCTGCTCCTAGCCCCTGGCTTTCCCTGCCACAGTGCTCTTCAAGTCATGCCTCCCATGCCCCCTGCAGGGCCCTGACTTGGATATCATCATATACTGTAAGTTTGCGATGAGACACTACAGTATAGATGATGTACTAGTCCGGGTACCCCCAGCTCTGGAGCCTGATGAGGACAAGAGGATGCAGCAAGCCCACTGTGCTCATCACAGCCTGCTGACTGCCAGGGCACTTGGGAATGGCGAGGAAACCGTTACCATTACTGAGTTTAGTAATGGTAATGGTTCTCTTGCTGCACCCAGAAAACGTGCCAAGAGAACTCAGGACCCTGGAGCAGACTACTGGAAGGGAAGAAGACTCAAGCTCAGACAATGGGGTGGGGGTGAGGGAATGGGTAAGTTTTCTCTTTCCTGTTCTAAAGAAATAAAGGTGAGAACCAGAATGTTTGTCTTTTAACTTTATTAGCATCGAAGGTTGGGGAGAGGGATGTAGTGGAAGGATTCAATGACTTGGGGAGCAGGTGGGAGGCACTATCTCACATGGGTCCTTATGGGACTTCCAGGTGAAAGATCTGACGAGGGAAAAAGATCTCCCTGCTAACAACTGGCAACTGAGGGAGAAACTCTGGGCCAGTGCCAGGTAGAAGCAGGGTGGCGCTGCTTGCACCAAAGAGACAAACTTCTAGACCTAAGTAGCTGTGGCCCCAGTCAGAGAAACTACTGGGAACAGAGCTAAGGTAGGTTCCTTCCTCCAACACGAGATATGGCTGGGGAGGGGCTGTGCTGACTAGGCAAGCAGGCCAGCCAGTGGTTTGCCATCAGTGTTCATGCCCCTCACCAGGCAGGAGCAATTCTGGTCAGTGGCTCCTACCAGAAACTTAGACTGGGATGTCTTGAGAGGGGCAGTAGAGGGTGGTCAATTGAGGAGCTTCACAGAGAGGCGGAGCTGAACCTCACAGAGGAAGATGTCCATAAGGTCCCGGCCAGCCTCCTCTGCAATCTGGGAGATCAGGTGCCCCTTCGGACCAATCAAGATCTTCTGAGAGTGGGATAAAAGAGAGGATCCTGAGCCTGCTCTCAGGGCTCCCAAGCAGTGGAGGGGAGAACCCCTGCCTAACAGAGCCTTAGTCCCTCTTTCAAGCCTAGACCTGCTTACCACATGAGATTCTTTGGGCACCAGAAGCTTCTGTACGATCACCAGCTCCCCGCTTGGTCCTTCCTCCCACATAATTGTTTTCTGCACAGGGAAACGTCATAATTAGTCAGTCAGGCAGACACATACCCCAATGTCTCTGGGACACAGCTGTCCTGCTCTGAGTGTGCACCTGGTGGAGAACCCCCAGATCCTTTCACTGGGCCTGCACCTGCTGTACATTGTAGGGCACCTCCTGGGGCAGATGCTCTAGGAGCTTCTCTCGGATGATGTTGGCGCAGATCTCCTCAGGCGTCTGGCTAGTGAGAACTTCACTATGGAATTCCCAAGGCCCTGGCTGGGCCCGTGCCAGGAGGTATTGCTGTGGGTACAGAGGGAGTAGGTGAGCATTTCAGTCCCAATCAGGACTTTCCTACTCACTTTCTCTTCCAGGAGGAACTCTGAGGCTTGTCTTCACATGGTGGAAGACAAAGGCCAGGCTATGGCCAAGACGGACTGACCTTTAGTGTTTTCACATCCTCCTGGCTTAGTGCTGATAACATGAAGATCTCCTGGAAGTAAGGCCAGCCAATCCTCTGAGGGCCTCCCACAGACTGTATGTTTGGGCCCTTGGCTGCTGGGCTGGGGCAGTGGGTGCCCGGCTGTGAGCGGAAGGCCTGTCTTAACTTGAGCTTCTTGCCACTGACCACACCTTCAGTGAGGGCTGCTGTGAGCTCCAGGAGAACTGACTTCTGCTTCAGGCAATCTACCTGGGCATAGGGGATGGGCAGACAGTGTGTGTGGTTAGTGAGATAGGGGTCTTAGAGGAAAGCAGACTCCTTCCTCGGGTAGGTGGTGCTCACCTTGTTCATGACAAGGATGCTGGGGACTTGGGAGAACTGGGTCAAGCACTGGAGCACTTCGGGGCTGAGCTGGTTCCGAGTCCATTTGTCTGAGACATCCACAAGAACTACAACTGGAAGTTGGCAGGATGATGAAAACAAAGATATGACCACTCTTTTCCCCATCCCCCGATAACTTCCAATGGTAGGAGTCTGGCCAATCCCCACCTCCCAAACTACCAAGAAATGAGAGGCCATGACTGTGTAAACTGGGCTTCAGATTCCCATTCTGAGCCTAACCCAGATCAGCAGATTCCATGCTCTTCCATGGATCTTCCAACAAAGAGAGCTCCAGATGGTGCCTGAAGGACAGACATACATAGGTTAGGAAGGGTCTTATGACTGACGTACTCCTGATGAGGGATAGAGTGTGGAAGGGGGTTTCCCAGCCCCTATGATGGTATCTCTCCACCCCCTCTTCAACGTCTTTCTCCCTATAACCCTTGTTTCCATGGCTATTACCTTTTCTGTTTAACAGGGCTGATGAGGCCAGGTGTGTCAAGTAGAATCTAAAATCAGGAAAGAGCGATGTCTAAACCCTCAGGCCTCAGGAGGAAAAATTATGACTGGGAGTGAAAGAAAGGCCACCCTTGATGTCAGCAGCCTGACATCTTCTTGCCAAGCCAAGCTGACTAGAGTTTTATCTTCCAGCTTTGTTTTAATTCCAGAAAAGATCCAGAAGGAAGAATATGACTGTAAATATATGGGCGATTAGGAAACAGTAAAGAGGAAATGAGACCTTTCTGATTAAATGGCAGAGAAAGTACAGAGAGAATTACTCCAGGCCTAAAGGAAAAGGAAACTCTTTTCCCTCAGGGAAGTGAAACCAAACATCATTTTCTTCAGGTCTAATAGTAAGGGAGGCCCTCCTAGCTTCACCCTCTGTCCTGTTGCAGGTACTCACCACCTGGGCCTCTTTCTCTGTGATGACCCCCAGAGCTTGGCAGCGAGTAGTGTGCACCTTCTTGGAGACAGGAAACACCTGCCAGAAACAAAGAAGTCCCAGTGAGGTCTTAGATCCTTCTATGACAATCCATGGAGAGATGAAAAGGGGTAGGGGATTGGGGGAGTCAAAGATGTGGCATACTTTTCGGCCCAGCAGCTGGTTGGAGAGTGTTGACTTCCCTGCATTTGGGGCACCCAGGAGGACCACTCGTAGGACCCGGGAGTTCTCAGGCATGTCGGGGTGATGGACCAAAAGGAGATCCTGCTCATCTGTGTGTGGGGCAGGAGGGAAGTGAAAGAGAGTACAGTTTGGATCTTGTCAGGCACACAGTCCTACCACCCACAAAGGGAGTAGGGATACAAGGTTAGTGCACCAGATTGAAGCCGAGACCAGGCTTTGAGACTTAAGTTTGTCCATTAATTAGTTTACATGACTTTATTAAATCCTTTAACCTCTCTAAATTCCTTAGTTTTATCACATGTAAAATGGGGATGATATTAATAGTACCTATTTATAACCTTCTTTAGACAATTGGCAATTGTGTAAAATCACTGGCACAATGCCTGGCACTTAATATTAAATTACTGTGTAGTTTGTCTGGTAAATATATGCACATGGGTGAGTACAGCTAGGCCAGATAAAGCCAGAAATCCCTCCAGGCCTATCTCCCGGCCCCTACTAAGGGCGTTATGAAGGCTCTAAAACCTTTCTCAGTCTTTTGTATTGGCTCCTTATGCCAATGGATTGCAATGACCGGTTTGTATCCAGCCTCCCTACCAGATTCTATACTACTCCCTACCAGAATACAGGGTACTGGCCTCGTAGAATCTGTTCTTTCTCTCCCCTGTGAGATCCTTCACTGCTCGTCTCCGTCTCCCTCTGTCTCTCTCTGCCTTTGCTTTCTGTAACTATACCTCCAAAAATAATATCCCCAGACTGAGGGATTTCCTCGAAACGGAGCTTTCATTGATAAAAACGGTAACAGTTCCGGACAAATCGATCTGGGCCCTTTACCTCTGTGCATGGACACGGCAGGAATGAGAGACGTCAACAAACGCTCC